AGGAGACTGTTCTTTCTGTGTAAGCATTTAGGAAGCTGCCTTGTGCTGGTGTAGTATTCTTGACTATAACTCCGAACTGCTCCCTTACATCTCAGTTTTTCAAGTCGTCTGCTCTCTGATCCTTTCAGCTGCAGATTCCACTCTTCAGTAATTGAATTGTGTGTACTAGGATGAGCGACGACCCCTTCCTCTCATAATATCTTGACATGCTGCTAAAATTATGACACCACAACACAATCCAAAATGCACAAAATAAACTCAAAAGGGATTTTAAAGGAACAATGTGTTTCTTGAATCAAGACAATGGATACAACGTATATTATAAGAGCTGGCCTGAGGCAATTTTCTGTCAGAGGTAAAGGACAAAATGGCACCCTATGATGATTCCACATCAATATGTCTACTAGATGGGGGAAGTCATAGCCAAATTTTCAAAGCAACACTTGAAAATGGCTAATATTCAAACAATTCAATGATGCTGAATATGAACTGGGTGCCAAATGCATTGTCTAAGAGGAATGTGGCCTAGAACAGAATGAAAAGGAGGATATTATAAGAGTCTAGCTCTACTTTGGCCAAATGTTTGATTCCACTATGGCAGGGGTGGTGAAACTCAGCCCTGCATAGCAAACAAGTCCCTCCAGATCTCCCCATTAAGAAGCCCCACACTCTTATGCTGTCATACATGATAACATGTGGGTCAGGATGGGACTTCAAAGGAACAACTGGGAGCTTTAAGCTTTACTTTGATTGAGAAAGACAAGCTCCCACCCACTCACCAGCTGGCTGGTATTCTGTCAAATGCAAGAGTCTTTTTGGAGTTAGAGGGACCACAGCACAAGTAGAGGAAAGTTCAGAAGGGTTAATTACAGCATGAAATAACATGCTTAAATCAGGCACAAAAAACAGTGACACAGTCCTTAAGCAAACTAACAAACCATGCATATGCGGGGGCCCAGCGCCTTCTGTCAAGAGTTTGGGTGTAACCTTAAATGCCTTCCTTTCCATGGAGGCACATGTTGCAGCCACAGCAAAGGTGGCATTTTTCCATCTCTGCTGTATTAAGCAGTTGGTCCCTTACCTTTCTCACCCTGATCTGGCCACAGTGATCCATACAATGGTCACCTCCAGGCTCAATTATTGTAACTCACTCTACATGGGGCTGCCCTTGAAGCTGACCCAGAAATTCCAGTGGGTGCAGAATGCTGCGGTGAAGCTCCTTACGGGGTCCTCGCCGTGGGACCACGTTCATCCAGTGCTTTACCAAATTCACTGGCTCCTGGTGGAGTACAGGGTCAGGTTTCAGGTGCTGGTTTTGACATTTAAAGCCCTATGTGGCCTAGGATCCACATACCTATGGGACCGCCTCTCCTGGTATGCCCCATACCAGGAGGTCCACAAATGACAACACTTTGGAGGTCCCAAGTCACAAGGTGGTTAGACTGGTCTCAACTAGGGCCAGGGCATTTTCAGTACTGGCCCCGACTTGGTGGAACACTCTGTCACAAGAGACTAGGGCCCTGCGGGACTTGACATCTTTCTGCAGGGCCTGTAAGACAGAGCTGTTCCGCCTGGTGGACTCAGTCAGACCCTTTTGTTTCCCTCTCCTTACGCTTTTGATCTATGGACTACTTTTAAAATGAGGCTGCATTTTAAATTGCATTTTAACCTGTATTTTATATTGCTTTATTTTATTTTTTTCTATTATGGTTGCTTTTCAGGGAAAAACGAAGTCATCAGAAAGGTACATATTGTCTAGCCATTGAGATGGGCTGTTGAGAACAAGTAGCCTGTTTGTTCTTTTCCTTGTAGGTGCCACAACATCCTTCATCAATGATCCATAAATAAGGGGAAACTTTTGATTGTATCTGTGAGTCTCTTGGAGACTGGAGCCGAACCAGTGTTCAACCACACATGTCTCATTCTATTCCATTATTTGTTTCCTTCTTCATACTGCTACATTTGCCATGGGAGGGCCAGCTATTCTCAGCACTGCAGTTTGCTCTAAAAGACCCAACTGGTCAGTTTGGGGTATTTGAGTTTCAGAATGTCCAGGATGATGTCCTCGGTGTTTTAGCTGAGATTCCTGCATCGCGCAGGGTGTGTGTGTGTGTGTGTGTGTGTGTGTGTGGACTTGAAGGCCCATGGGGTCCCTTCCAACTCCATTATTCTATGAGGAACGTAAGAAGAGCCAATGGCCCATCAAGTCCAGCATCCTGTTCTCACTTTGGCCAATCCAATGAGGAGCACAAGAGCAGTCAGCCCTTCAGCAACGGCCATTCAGAAGCATCGCTGCCTCCAGCTGTGGAAGCAGAGCATAGTCATCCTAGCTAGTAGGCATTAACAGTCTTCTCTTCCATGAATTCCAAAGCCATCTATTTTAGAGAGAGGAGCAAGAATTAATTATCCAAAACTGAAAGGGTGCATGGTAGCCATGAATATCATTAGCAGAATGTTTGGAACACCCAGTCCTTTCCTTCCCCCTGAAAGCTTCCTGTCACCATTCCCTTGGGAGATAGAAATAGAAGATCCTTTCTCTCTCTGCAATATCTTTGAGCTAGAAGGCAATTCTGGTGGCTCCAGCATTCAGCCATGAAGACCTCTGCCCCTCTACTTCTCCTTTTGGTGCTGCTATCGGTCCCAGGTAAAATCTAAAGGGCTGTCCATCCACAGCACTCCAAGAAGACCTGCCTAACTAGCCTCTTGGCTGCTTTGTAGTGCTTGGAGTATTAGCCCATTTGATACTATGTCATCTGTGTAAGATTGAAGTTCTATTTCCTGATTAAGTGGGAAATAGAATGGACTGCTTTTGCTGATTAGAATCACAGCATTGTAGAGTTGGAAGAGCATTATCTAGCCCAATCCCCTGCCATCCATATACTTCTGTTGATGCAGCAGAGAATAGCACAAGCTTTTCTTTTTGCTGCTGCATCACACTGCTGACACATGCTAAGCTTGGAGGTTTTCACATGTGCTACTGGCAAGAGGAAATTCATAGAAATGTTGGTAATCTTTTTTTGCCTGAGGGATAGATTTATATCTTAATAATATTTCCTGCCACTGAGTATGAACCGTGTGATGGTGTCTGCAAGCGACGTTGTAGAGCTGGAGAATATGAGTCTTCTTCAGACCTCTGCGAGGAATCTGGTCATTTCTTCTGCTGTAAAAAGTCTGGTAATGTGGTTAATTGTTTTTACAGGCTGCAATCATTATGAATTGGGGGGGTGGAAAGGTTAAAAGATAAGAAGCAGGGTTTTCTGTGGCTCTGTTAAAGCAAGCGGAAGAGCAAATAAGGAGAAGGGGTGTGGAGAAGGCAGAGAGGTGCTATTGTGTGACGGAGGGAAGGTGGAACTGCTCAACCCTCATTAGAAAATATAATTAAACAGTGGATCTGTGAGCACATCGAAAAGGATACAATGGTTACTAAAGCTAGCAGGGGTTTCTCAAAAGAAACAAGTCATGGCACATGAATTTTATTTCTTTTTTTGATACAGTGGGAAATTTGGTAGATCAGAGGAATGCTGTGAATAGTGTGTGTCTTGATTTCAGTAAGGCTTTTGACAAACTCCCCCATGATTCCTTGTCATCCTGGACACACAAATCAACACTGTTATGCAGCACCAAAAAAAGCTAATGCAATTCTAGGCTGCATTAGCAGAGGTCCAGTGTCCAGATGACAATAAATTATAGTACCATTATTTTCTGGCTTCCTCCAGGCTGGTGCACTAAGAGGGAAAGGGGCAGGCATCTGCTGAGGTTGAGCCCATTTCCCCCCTTTGCCAGGGCTCAGTGTTAGTGGATGAGGAAGCTTGCTGCTCCAATGTTGCAGGCACAAATCAATCCATACTTGCCTATGGCATGAGCTGCAGCAGCCTGGGAGTCATTTTGGATTCGTCCATGGAGGTGCAGGTCAATTCTGTGTCCAGGGCAGCTGTCTACCAGCTCCATCTGGTACGCAGGCTGAGACCCTCCCTGCCCACAGACTGTCTTGTCAGAGTGGTGCATGCTCTGGTTATCTCCCACTTGGACAACTGCAACACACTCTACGTGGGGCTACCTTTGAAGGTGACCGGGGAACTACAACTAATCCAGAATGTTTCAGCTAGACTGGTGACTGGTAGTGGCCACCAAGACCACATAACACCGATCTTGAAAGACCTACATTGGCTCCCAGTACGTTTCCAAGCACTATTCAAAGCCCTAAACGGCCTCGCCCCAGTATACCTAAGCGAGCGTCTCCACCTCCATTGTTCAACCCAGACCCTGAGGTCCAGCGCCGAGGGCTTTCTGGCAGTTCTCTCACTGCGAGAAACAAAGTTACAGGGAACCAGACAGAGGGCCTTCTCGGTAGTGGCACCTGCCCTGTGGAAAGACTCTGTTTTACCTGGTGAAATTGTGCTTATGCCCACTCAATTGGCAGGCCCCCTGCCTCCTAAAGTCGCAGGTTTAATTTTACCCAAATTTTCTGCGGCAAAAGAAGGAATCCAGGTTATTCCAGGAGTTCTGGATCCTGACTATGTAGGCACAATAATGGTTCAACTCTGGAGCCATATGCCCATGCAATTACAAAAGGGTGAGTCTTGGGCGCATTTGGTGGTGCTCCCTTCTCATCCTACTGCTTCTATTATGGATACTAATTTGCACGAGCTCTCTTCTTTCCCTCTACAGCTGTTAGCTGTAGTCCAGAAGGATTGGTGAGAAGAAGCTTCTTCGTAAGTATAAAATCAATGGTATTGTGCTGGAAGGCTTGATTGACACAGGCGCAGACGTTTCTGTAATTTCTAGTAGTTGCTGGGACCCCACGTGGCCCCTTGAGTCTGCCTCTGCAGTCTGGGGTGTGGGTGGCCCCCAAACCTCTTCCAAAAGCGTACAGTGGCTGCCTGTTTCTCTGCCTGATAGCTCTGAAACCATTGCTTACATCCAGCCCTGTGTGCTGAAAATCCACCTCAATCTGTGGGGAAGAGACTTACTACAACAATTACAAGCTACCATTCAATTTAATGAGTAAGCTTGCACTTCCCCTCAACTGGAAATCTTCTGGTCGTGTCCTGGCTATACGTTTAATTACATTCCAGCAATACATCAGCCATGGCACACCTTGCTGTTTAAGCCGTTTGACCATCATTTTACCCAAAAAGCATCATTTGACCCACTCTCGATATCGCTGCAATATTGAATTGACTAATGATTGTGATGCTTTTGTCTCTCTTCTCAGTAGGTTTGAATATATCTCTTTAGTTGTTTCTCTCTTAGGAGTCCCTGGATTGGTTGTATGGAATCGTATGAACATTAATTCTCTAGCTTGTTCTGCAGCAAAAGCGCTGAACTATACTTCTCAAGCCCTTCACCTTTTGAATAAAGAGCAAAGTGAACTCCAGCATGGGCTTTTACAGAACCGCGCCGCTATAGATTATTTGCTGATGCTTCATCATTATGGCTGTGAACAAGTGAATGACATGTGTTGTTTCAATATTACTGACAATTCTAGAGCCATTCAAAGCCAAATCTCTCATTTGCAAAATCTTACACATCACATTAAACAGGACATTGGTTTTCCTGGCCTCTGGGATTCTTTCACCCAGTGGCTTACCGCTTGGTTGCCAAACCTTACTTGGCTTCGTAATCTTTTTCAATATGCTATTGTCATAATTTGTATTCTTATTTTACTATGCTGCTTCCTTCAATGCGTTCCTAGCCTCATAAGTCTTTTCTCTCGGCTTCTCTCTCCCCCTCAACCACCCAGTAAACTCCTTGCTGCTTACTTTGCGAAATGGCAACACCAACAGTAAACCTTAGGGGAGATGTGGGCGGATTTATTTTGGGCATGCGCTGGCAAACCACGTATCCTGAAGTATTTTTGTCCCATCTACCCTGGCAAGCTTATTTCGGGCATTCACTGGCACACCACTAATCCCGAAATATTTTTGCTTTATCTACCAAGAACGCCTCGCAAACAAGAAAAGAAAGGGGGAGATGAAGGGAAGTTTTCTTTCTGCAGTTCTCTTACTGCACATGACTGTGGCATTGTGGGAAAGTCTTGCTTTTAGCACTATTGTTTCTTTTCTCTTGCATTCTGGGAAGTCTCGCTCATAATCTTCTCTCTGCTTCTGCACAAGAGTCTGAGAATGTTCTGAACAGTTGATATTACAATTAATAACGCAGGGAGGGAGCTGCAGCCCAAGAAAAGAAAATACAGTGGTACCTCAGGTTACATATGCTCCAGGTTACATATGCTTCAGGTTACAGAGTCTGCTATCCCAGAAATAGTACCTTGGGTTAAGAACTTTGCTTCAGGATGAGAACAGAAATCACGTGGTGGCAGCACGGCAGCAGCAGGAGGCCCCATTAGCTAAAGTGGTGCTTCAGGTTAAGAACAGTTTCAGGTTAACAATGGACCTCCGGAACGAATTAAGTATGTAACCAGAGGTACCACTGTAGGTGGTAAGGGAACACCTAGTTACTTTAAAGGAATTCAGATCTCCAGGGCCTGATTAGCTGCATCCAAGGGTACAAAAGGAGTTTGCAGATGTAATCTCAGGTCTATAATCTTTGAGAATTCCTGGAGAACTGGTGGCAATTGTTGTCCCCATCTTCAAAATGGGTTAAAAGGCCAACCCAGGTAACTACCAACTGGTGAGCTGGACATCCTGACTGCCTGACTTTGATACTGAAAGTTAAAGAAAGAGTGGCTCTCTTCCTGCAATATCTTTGAGCCAGAAGGTGACTTTTGTGACTCCTAAATTCAGTGGTGATGACCTTTGCCCTGCTGGTTCTCTTTTTGATTTTGTTATACCTGGTTAAAAAATAAAGGTCTGTTCTATCAATGGACTGTAGTAAAAAAAAAAAAAAAAAGTCTAGTCCATTTTGGTGTCTTTTGCTACTCTAACTTGCTCAAAACATTAGCTCATTTGAAACTTTGCCATTTGTGCATAGTTTTATTTAGTGGAAAATGTAATGAAATCTCAGTGACTGCTTTCACTGAGATGCTTAGAGATGTTGGTAATTTCTTCTCTCTGAAGGATGGATTTCTATCTTTATAATATAATACAATGTGGGAGGCAGCAGTTATGAGTTAGAAGTTCATCCTGATTAGCATAAAGTTATTGTGTCTCATTGGTCAGCTACTGCTTGCCTTAAGCCAGGCAGCCCCTGGTCAATAAAGTGCTGTTTCAAAGAAGACCTGTCCACCTGGCCATTTGGGTCTTCTTTAGTCCTTTGGCATGCTAGTAATCTTAGCCCATTGGATACTATGTCATATGTGCAAAATTAAAGTTCTATTTCTTTGTCTATTAGGAAATGTAATGGATTGCTTTCACTGATTAAGAAATGATTAGAGAGGTTGGTGGTCTCTTCTCATCTGAAAAATTGATTTCTCTCTTCATAATATTTCTCCAGGATCTACTCCCACCCCGGATTAATGATTGTAGAGGTCGCTGCAAACCAAGGTGTTCACGTAGAGAATATGTGGCTTCAACAACCTCCTGCGATCATCCTGATCATGTCTACTGCTGCCAAAAGAAGGGTAACATGTTAAATGTTTGTTATGGGCCTCGATCATGAGTTGGAAAAGAAGGTAAAGATGATAAACAGGGTTGTTTGGCTATTCTGGAAGGAAGAGGAAGAAACAAGGAGCAGGTTTTCTGCATGGAGAGGATGGAGAAATGCTTCTGGGTGACAGAGAGAAGGTGGGCTGCTCAACACCTACTTTGCCTTGTCTTCCTCAGTGCACCGACCCCTCTTGCTCTCCAGGCTTCAGAGATAGCTGCCTGAAGCCTTCGGAGCATGGAGGGAGCACTCCGTCTGTGTTCCGGAGGCTTCAGGTTCCTTTCACTGAAGCCAGGAGAGCAAGACTCTTCTGGCTTCAGCAGAGAGGGAGAGCTGTGCAGCACCCCTTCAGCCAAGTGGGAGGAGAAATGGAAGGGGCTCTGTTTCTCCTGCCGCTTCGCTGAAGGGGCGCTGAGCAGAGAGGGGGAGATTTTTTTCCTCTTGTTCTCCCCCTCTAAAACAAGGTGCATCCTATGGTCCGGTGCGTCCTATAGAGCGGAAAATACAGTAGTTGGTACTGGGCCATTTCCATAGCAACAGACTTGGCTGACTTTGCACCTGTTGGCTTATCTCATCCATGGGGTGATTTATGCTTATGAAGCAAATTAACCCCTTCCACAGGACCTGGTTCTCCAAAATAACAAGTTATTTTTTTGTTTTTGTTTTTAAGGACTGAAGCTCTTAGGATCAGGAAATGTGGTTAAAGATAATAAAAAGCTGGTGGTTGTTCTTGCTTTGTTCAAAGCATGAGGAAGAAGAAACCAGGAGTAGTGTTAGGAGCTGGAGTCAGAAGTACAGTAGGTCAGCAACTAAACAGTCTCTTTTTTTTAAGGAACCAAAACAGTGCAGGCCTAGTGATTGCAGCACATCTTCTCAGTAGGTGTTGCCCCAATGAGGCATTGTGAGGCCTAAATGGTCCCACCTTCCCACCGCTTTTAGAACTTCTTCTCCTTCAGGGGCCCTTCCCAAGCAATCTCAGGCTCCTTCATCTAGTCTCTCATTGCTAACCTGTGCTCTGCTCTTTTCATTCCTCTATGTGTTCTGGGAGACCAGGGGAGAGGGAGGATGCTGGTTGCAGCAGGATGGGGAGACTCCCTGGATTCTTCAGCAGCCAGGCTCATCTCTGTCTCCTGCCCCCCTCCTCTTCTCCACCCTCCACTGCTGCCTCTGATTCTGGACTGCTCTCTGTCACCTCCTCTTCCTGCTCACTAAATCCTGTTACCTCTTCAGCTTCCAAGACCTCCTTCTCTCAGTCTGCTCCTTCTTTCCCCCCAGACCACTCATAATGGCCCCACCACCAATCCCCTGTCTCTGAGCCTTCTTCTCTGAGCCTCTCACCACTCCTCTGCATCCATCCAGTCAATGACAAGTAAGTCCCATGCACTGAGAAGATTTGGGGCTAGAGAGAAGGTGGAACTGCTCAACAACTACTTTACCTCTGTCTTCTGCTAAAAGGAAACAGTGCACAATGTGGTGATTATAGAATAAATGATGCAGAGGGATAATATTTCTCCAGGACCCACCCACCCACCAGGATCCACCCACCCACCGGATGAAATTTGTAAAGGTTGCAAACCAAGTTGTTCAGATAGAGAATTTGTGACTTCAGCAACTTACTGCCAGGATCCTGATCTTGTCTACTGCTGTGATATTATAGGTAACGTATCTATCTTTTCCTAAGGACTGCAAATATTATGTGATTGGGGAGGTGAGCAGTGGTGTTTTTTCTTTCTTTCTTGCTATGTTTGAAGCAAGAGAAAGGACAAACAAGGAATAGCATGGAGAGGTGCTATTAGGTGACTTGGGGAAAATGGAGCTGATCCACACCTACTTTGCCTCTGTCTTTTTCACAAGTTTTCAAAAGGAAAACAATGTGTTGATATTACAATTAATAATGCAGGGAGGGAGCTGCGGCCCAAGAAAAGAAAATACAGTGGTACCTCGGGTTACATATGCTCCAGGTAACATACGCTTCAAGTTACAGAGTCTGCTAACCCAGAAATAGTACCTTGGGTTAAGAACTTTGCTTCAGGATGAGAACAGAAATCACGTGGTGGCAGCACGGCAGCAGCAGGAGGCCCCATTAGCTAAAGTGGTGCTTCAGGTTAAGAACAGTTTCAGGTTAACAATGGACCTCTGGAACGAATTAAGTATGTAACCAGAGGTACCACTGTAGGTGGTAAGGGAACACCTAGTTACTTTAAAGGAATTCAGATCTCCAGGGCCTGATTAACTGCATCCAAGGGTACAAAAGGAGTTTGCAGATGTAATCTCAGGTCTATAATCTTTGAGAATTCCTTCAGAACTGGTGGCAATTGTTGTCCCCATCTTCAAAATGGGTTAAAAGGCCAACCCAGGTAACTACCAACCGGTGAGCTGGACATCCTGACTGCCTGACTTTGATACTGAAAGTTAAAGAAAGAGTGGCTCTCTTCCTGCAATATCTTTGAGCCAGAAGGTGACTTTTGTGACTCCTAAATTCAGTGGTGATGACCTTTGCCCTGCTGGTTCTCTTTTTGATTTTGTTATATCTGGGTAAAAAATAAAGGTCTGTTCTATCAATGGACTGTAGTATATAAAAAAAAAGTCTAGTCCATTTTGGTGTCTTTTGCTACTCTAACTTGCTCAAAACATTAGCTCATTTGAAACTTTGCTATTTGTGCATAGTTTTATTTAGTGGAAAGTGTAATGAAATCTCAGTGACTGCTTTCACTGAGATGCTTAGAGATGTTGGTAATTTCTTCTCTCTGAAGGATGGATTCTATCTTTATAATATGTCTCCAGAATCCACTCCCACCGAGCAAATGAAGTGTAAAGGTCGCTGCAAACCAAGGTGTTCACGTAGAGAATATGTTGCTTCAACAACCTCCTGCGATCATCCTGATCATGTCTACTGCTGCCGAAAGAAAGGTAACATGCTAATTTTTTGTTATGGGCCGCAATCATGAGTTGGAAAAGAAGGTGAAAATAATGAACAGGGTTGTTTGGCTATGCTTGAAGGAAGGCAAAGAACAAACAAGGAGTAGGTTTTCTACGTGGAGTGGATGGAGAAATGCTTTTGGGTGACCGAGATAAGTTGGACTCCTCCACACCTACTTTGCCTCTGTCTTCTTCCAAAAGTGTATAATTTGATGATAATAGAATAAAAGATACAGAGAGGGGACTTCAGCGCAAGGTAGGAAGAGAGTTGGTAGGGGAACACCAAGCTATTCTGAATGAATTCTAATCTTCAGGGCCTTAGAACTGCTCCCAAACGTACTAAAGGAACTTGCAGATGTAATCTCACAGCCTCTGTATAGAATATTTGGGAATGCTTGGACAAAAGGTGGTGTCCCTGCAGACTGGAAGTGGGCAAACTTTGTTGCCATCTTCAAAAAGGAAAAGAAAAAGGACCCAGGAACATAACTAGTTGGTCAGCTTGGCTAGGATACTAGGAAAGGTCCCCAAAATGACAATGAGTCAACGAGAAGTTAGCAGGCATGCCACTTTCAGAGGCCCTGGGGGCCCGAGCACCAACAAATTTTCATTTTGGGTGTCCACGGGTGCCTGGCTACCGCCTCCTGCTGTGGCTGCAGCCTCCCACTGCCTCTGCAACACAGTGTGGCGGAGGCGCAGGCCCTGGCCCAGTTGCCTTGTTTTCTCAAAAACAAGTCATAGCTGATGAATCTAAGTTAAAAAAACAAACAAACCCAAATTGGCAAGCTTAGTGGATAAGGGTAATGCTGTGAATGTCTTGATTGCAGTAAGGCTTTTGACAAACTCCCCCCTGGTTACTTGTCATTCTGGAAAAAGAAATCACAAGTGGGTTACCACAGGGTTCTGTCCTGGGCCCAGTGTTATTCAACATTTTTATAGACGGCTTAGATGAAGGAAACAGAGGGGCTGCTCATCCAATCTACAGGTGTGGAATTTAGCTCTTCAGGAAAAGCTTACCTGGCACGTCAGACTTTTGAATGGGAAAGCAAAGCCACACTCAAATCTGGTGGGACTTTGTTGGATATATCAGCTGTTGGCTATTTGCAGTATGGTAGCACTGCAGAGAGCTTGCTGGGGAGACCATGCATTAAAAAGGACTCAAAAAGTACTTAAACAAGGTTTTAATTACAAAAACAAAAACTCCATTTACACTAAATACATCAACAAACCAACATGACCCAACCACCAACCCATCCCCCAGGGTAATGGGAGAGCTAGGTGCTGCTCCTTATATACTACACCCAATTGCTGACACAGCTTAATCAATACAACTCAGCAGCACCTGCTATGTTTCACAGCTGTAAAGCTGGGTCTCTTTATCTTGCTCTGGCCCCTTAAAGACATACACATCGGGTGGAACAGTGATGAACCTTTACATTTAAAGAAACCATTCAACAGTTCAAGGAACTGTTATATTGTTCTCTCCCCCAACCCTATCCTGGTATCCCAATACATTAGGTAAAGGTAAAGGGACCCCTGATCATTAGGTCCAGTCGTGACCGACTCTGGGGTTGCGGCGCTCATCTCACTTTATTGGCCAAGGGAGCCGGCGTACAGCTTCCGGGTCATGTGGCCAGCATGACTAAACCGCTTCTGGCGAACCAGAGCAGCGCAAGGAAACGCTGTTTACTTTCCCGCCGGAGCGGTACCTATTTATCTACTTGCACTTTGACGTGCTTTCGAACTGCTAGGTTGGCAGGAGCAGGGACCAAGCAACAGGAGCTCACCCCGTCGCAGGGATTCGAACCGCCAACCTTCTGATCGGCAAGTCCTAGGCTCTGTGGTTTAACCCACAGTGCCACCCGCATCCCTTTCCCAATACATTAGGGAAAAATAGAATACATGGCCTTCTGTTTATTATAGGTTATACTTTACTGTACATTGCAGTGCCACCCATTGCGTGAACAGGCAGCGACCACCCCAGCCCCCAGGGACCACCAGAAAGGAATAATGACTCTGACAACGTGTTATGGAATTAAAATTTGGCCACAACTTTATTAAACTTTCAAATGTAGGAAGACCTTGGCTTAGGCATTAGGCATATATCCCTCCCAGCCCCCCAGCTGGGGGGACTGGGGCTCCTCAGGGTAAATGGGTTATGGGGGTGCTCTGCAAGACACATGTGTACATAGGCAGCCCACCCCATATCCACGCACGCTGGGTAGTTCACTGATAACCTTTCAGTGTATAGCCAGTGACACTCATATTACAACCCCTTTAAGAGGGGACCCTGGAATTGCCGTCGCGGGGTGTGTGTGTGTGAGTCACCACTTCACCCCCCCCCCAAATTTCAGGGAAGAAAAGACTAAAGGATTCCACCCAAGGCCTTAAACCGCCAAAGTTGTGACGAATTCCTACAGGGAAGACAAAACCTGCCAGTGCAGGAGAATTTCTTCCCAGCTCTTCAACAGCAACCAGTCAAAAGACCGTAGCAGCACCTGCTAAACAGGAAGAAAAAGGTTAACCTGTAAGCAAGAAACATTAAACAAAGGGAGGGTTGGGTGAATGAAGCTCCTGAGCCGACTGCCGGGCTGCTGCTGGCTCCACCCCCTAATTATGTGATTGGCCCCACCTCCCAGCAGTGTAAATTGACTGACTGAGGCTGGGCGTGAGCCCCCAAAGAATAACACTGAGAAGCAGGCCAGCGCACATAAGTTCCCTGGGGTCCGAAGAACCGTGTGCGATCCCGGAAATGCACCCACAGTGTGAGTGTTCTCCTTGTGCACTCAATCTTTCCCAACATCAGGGTCTTTTCCAGGGTGTCTTCTCTTCTCACGAGGTGGCCAAAGTATTGGAGCCTCAGCTTCACAATCTGTCCTTCCAGTGAGCACTCAGGGCTGATTTCCTTCAGAATGGATAGGTTTGATCTTCTTGCAGTTTCCTGCTTGGCAGGGGGTTGGACTCGATGGCCCTTGTGGTCTCTTCCAACTCTATGATTCTATGGGACTCTCAAGAGTCTCCTCCAGCACCATAATTCAAAAGCACAAATTCTTGGCGACCAGCCTTTTTTATGGTCCAGCTCTCACTTCCATACATCACTACTGGGAAAACCATAGCTTTAACGGGTCTTCACTTACCTCATAGTAAATGTCACAAATTTTGGAAGTTCAGGCATTGGGTTGGAACCTTAGCTGACCAGAGGTCCTGTTAAAGGGGTGCACGAATTGGAGTCCACATGGGGGCCTATGGGACATAGTGCCTTTCCCAATGGTGGCCCTGGTGGGATTGTACAACCTGATGCATGTCCACTGGCACCAACTCCAGGGGCCCCCAGGGCCCCCTGCACCCACAATATTTTGTGTGTGACCGTGTGACCTTAGTTGAGACTTCCAGAGCTTTGTGAGCCCTGGAAGTTGCGTCTGAAGCCTCACAGAGCCTCCCAACGCAACTTCCAAGAGAAACCAGAAGTCTCATTGGAGGCCTGAGACGTAACCTCCAAGGCCCCACGAGGTCTTGGAAGTGACATCTAAGGCCCTGCACAGTCTCAGAAGCTACTTCTGGTAGAAACTGGAAGTCACGTTGGAGGCCTCGTAGGCGTTGCTGCGGCGCCCGCAGTGTAATATGATGTAATGATGTCACAACATCACTTTCCATCTCACGTGCCATTGGGCAGCCATAATCTGGGCCCCAAGTTGGCACCACTGTGCATGTTAGAGGTGACCTCCCAGTCAGGGTTGACCCACCCTACTCAACAACCAGCGGTCAGGCTGCTTGATACTGTATACATATCCAATGCCTTGGCCAAAACCTACTGACATGTGAAATCAATAAAAGTTATGGCCTATTTCAACCCAATAGCAATGTCCCGTGTCTCATTTATTTGGCTGGCCTTTCACTGGGCTGTGAGCATCTTGCCCCTGTATATGCAATCCAATCCTATACATAACTACTATGTATCTCCCTATATCTGGTCCACTTGCACAAAGCAAGGGCAACTCATATATCAAAACAATGCAGACATTTTAAATAATCCCACAAGAAAGAAAAGTTACAAAATGGGGAGGCTAGTCTATTAAGGAAAAACGGGCACTACTGAATCCTCGAACTTCCATTTACACACATAGTTTTGACAATTTATTCCAGGTGAAACATAAGGAAAACCTTTATATAATTTTCTTTTGTTTTTAAGTATAAACTACGAAGATGAAGATTGAGGATCATTTGAATATTGGGGGCTGTCCCATCACTTGGAGAGCCACTGGATCCTGCTTCAACCCCAGCTAGAGTCTCCTTCTGCTTCTTCATCAAAGCATCCAGATCAAAAGAAGTGCTTGCAACATTCTCCATGATTACATGAGATTCTCCCTTGCAATAAAAGTGAATTAAAAAAAAAGCAATTTCCATTCATTTGTCCTGATCTGATTATTTACTAGCATGAGGTTATTCCTGATTAAATGTTGTTGTTGTTTAGTCGTTTCCGACTCTTCGTGACCCCATGGACCAGAGCACGCCAGGCACGCCAGATTAAATGTAGAACGTGACATTTGTTCTTACTGAAATTCATTTTGGGTTTTTTTTGGCCCTGGTCCCCAATCTGTTAAGGTCATCTGGAATCCTGATTCTACCTTCTGAGGTATTAGCCACCCCTCCCAGTTTGGTGTCATCTGCAGATTTGTATACATTGTTTTGTCCACGTTGATCTTCATGACATTTTTCAAAAGAAAGAGCAGGAAGTAATTATCCAAAATTAATAGCCATGAATATCCTTAGCAGAAGAACATACAGTCCTTCCTTCACCCTGAAAGTTTCTCTTCCTCCTGCCTCTGTGCATGACATCATTCCCTTAGTAAGTACAAATAGAAGATGCTTTCCGTTCTCTCTCTGCAATATCTTTGAGCCGGAAGATGACTCTGGTGGCACCAGCATTCAGCCATGAAGACCTTTGCCCCACTGGTTATCTTTTTTATGCTGCTTAGCTTCCCAGGTAAAATATAAAGAACAGTTGAACCACCGGACTGTGGTAAAAGAAGACTTGTCTAACTAGCTTTGCTGCTGTGCCATGCTTGAAGTATTAGCTCATTTGATACTATGCCATTTGCACAATATGAAAGTATACCTGAAGGAGCATCTCCACCCCCATCGTTCAGCCTAGACACTGAGGTCCAGCTTCGAGAGCCTTCTGGTGGTTCCCTCCCTGCGAGAAATGAGGTTACAGGGAACTGGGCAGAGGGCCTTCTTGGTAGTGGTGCCCGCCCTGTGGAACGCCCTTTCATCAGATGTCAAGGAAATAAACAACCATCTGTCTTTTAGAAGACATCTGAATGAAGCCCTGTTTAGGGAGGTTTTTAATGTTTGGTCTTTTACCATGTTTTTAATGTTCTGTTGGGAGCTGCCCAGAGTGGCTGGAGAAACCCAGCCAGATGGGCGGGGTATAAATAGTGAATTATTATTATTATTATTATTATTATTATTATTATTATTAGACTGCTTTCACTGAATAGGAGATGCTTAAAGATGCTGGTGATTTCTTTTCTTCTGGGGGACTGATTTCTATCTTGTTAATATTTCTCCAGGACCCACCCCCACACTGAATGAAATTTGTAGAGGTCTCTGCAAACCAAGTTGTTCAGGTAGAGAATATTTGGCTTCATCAACCTTCTGCCATCATCCTGATCATGTCTATTGCTGTGAAAAGACAGGTAACATGTGAATTTTTTCCTAAGGTGTGCAACTATTATATGATTTGGAAAAGCAAATAAACAGGTTTGAGGGTTTTTTTTGCTATGTTTGAAGCAAGAGAAAGAACAAACAAGGAGTAGGCCTTCTGCGTGGAGATAATGGAGAGGTGCTATTAGGTGACGGGGGGGGGGATGGAGCTGATCAACACCTACTTTGTCTCTGTCTTTTTCAAAAGGAAAACAGTCTGCAATGTGATGATATTACAATTAAGAATGCAGGGAGGGAGCTGCAGCCCAAGAAAGGAAAATGGTGGTGGTGGTAACAACAACAACAACAACAACAACAACAACTTATTATTTATACCCCACTCATCTGGCTAGGTTTCCCCAGCCACTCTGATGAGATTCTCATTAAAAACATAAAGAATTCTCTCTCTCTCTCTCTCTCTCTCTCTCTCTCTCTCATATAAAGAATTTATAAAGTATAAATGAGATTCTCATTTAAAATATAAAGAACTGTATCAAAAGGGCCCCTTCCGATTCTCAGAACTGAGTGTCTTTGCAAATTAGGGTGGAATCTACAAACATAAAAACCCCTCTGAAAATGCTTTTTAAAAAGCATTAAAAAATACATTGCATTTTCCATAAGGCTCACCATTGCCATCTAGTGTCCCATTGTTTACCTTCCCGCTGGAGCGGTACCTACTTATCTACTTGTACTTTGACGTGCTTTTGAAATGCTAGGTTGGCAGGAGCAGGCACTGAGCAATGGGGGTTCACCCTGTCGCAGGGATTCGAACTGCCGACTTTCTGATTGGCAAGCCCAAGAGGCTCAGTGGTTTAGACCACAGCGCCACCCACGTCCCGTTGACCCACTGTATATTGCACTTAAAACACACTTAAAACATTTTCTTTGCAGCTGTATAGCTGAGTTCTATGTCATTTGTGCAGGATTAGTTCCATTTCTTTTCTTAGTGAGAAGTGTAATGGGCTCCTTTCACAGAATAGGAGATGCTTAGAGGAGCTGGTGATCTCTTCTCATCTGAGGGATGAATTTCTACCTTCACAATATTTTTCCAGGACCCACTCTCACCCGAAATAAAAAATGTATAGGTCGCTGCAAAGCAAGTTGTTCAGGTGGAGAGTATGTCGCTTCAACAAGCTCCTGCCACCGTGCTGATCATGTCTACTGCTGCTCAAAGACAGGTAACATGCTAAATTTTTGTAATGGGCCACAACTATTATGATTTGGAGAAGAAGGTAAAGATAATAACAGGGTTGTTTGGCTATGCTTGAAAGAAGATGAACAAGAAAGGAGGAGGTCCTCTTCATAGAGAAGATGGAGAAATGCTACTGGGTGACAGAGAAAATAGTGAACTGCTCAACACCAACTTTGCCTCTGTCTTCTTCCCAAAGGAAAACAGTGTATAATTTGATGATACTAGAATAAAAGATGCAGCTCAAGAGAGGCAAAGAGATAGAAAGGGAATACCTAGCTACTCTGAATGAATTCGAACCTTCAGGGTCTAATGAACTGCACCCAAAGGAACTATATGGATTTGCAAATATAATCTCAGAGGCTGTTTTATAATATTTGGGAATCCTTGAAAATCCCTGCAGGTGGGCAAACATTGTCACCATCTTCAAAGAGGGGGAAAAGAAGACCCAGGCATCTCGGTTGGTCAGCTTGACTTTGATACTAGGAAAGGTCCTAGAAATATATTTATAGTGTGGGTCTGTGAACACTTATTAAAGTTTTCTGTCGCTACTAAGAGCCAGCATGGGTTTCTCAGAGACAAGTCATAGCAGATGAAACTCTCTCCCCCTTTTCAATAGAGTGGCAAGCTTAGTGGATAAAGGGCATGCTGTGACTGTAGTGTATCTTGATTGCTGTAAGACTTTTGACAAACTTCTTCATGGTTCTTTTGTCATCCTGGGAGAAAAAAGTGGCAAGTGGATTACCACAGGGTTCTGTCCTGGGCCCGGTGTTGTTCAACATCTTTATAAATGACTTAGATGAAGGGAACAGAGGGGTTCCTCGTCAAATCTGCTGATGACACCAAATCAGGAGGGGTAGCTGATATCTCAGAAATAGAATCGGGATTTTAGATGACCTTTAGAGATTGGAGACCTGGGCCAAAACTAACAAAATGAATTTCAGTAGGGATAAATGTCAGGTTCTGCACTTAGGCAGGAACTGCCAGATGCATAAATATAGAATGGAAGACAAAGGATCTTAGAGGGTTTTTTGTTTTTTTAAGTAGACCACAAATTTAACTTGAGTCAACACTGTGATGCAGCAGCAAAAAGAGTTAATGCAATTCTAGATGTTCAGTCCTCACAGCAAGGGAAGTAACAGTATCACTCTTACCTTCCTTGGTCAGACCCCACTTTTAGTACTATGTGCAGCTCTGGGTACCACAGTTCAGGAATGATATTGACAAAGTCAGCTGAGGAGAGTGACCAAGATGCTCAAGAGTATGGAAAACACACCTTGGGAGGAACAGTTGAGGGAGCTGGGTATGTTTAGCCCAGAGAAGAGAAGACTGAGAGGTGATCTTATAACCGTCTTCAATATCTGAAAGGCTTCCATGTGGAAGATGGAACAAGCTTTTCTGCTGCTCCAGAGGGCAGGACACGAGCCAGTGGATTCCTATTACAAAAAAGGAGATTCTGACTAAATGCAAAGAAGAACTTTCTGGTGCTAAGAGCTGTTCCACAGTGGAATGGGCTACGTGAGACTTTGCTTCATTGGAGGTTTTTAAACAGAGGCTGGATAACCTCCTGTCAGAGATTCTTTAGCTGGGGTTCCTGCATTGCAGAGGGTTGGGATCCCAATTCCAATTCCCAATTTCACAGCTGTGTGACTGGAGTGATATCTGGGTTAGGTGCTCAGTGTTGGAACACACCTGGGGGGCACACACAGCCCCCAGAATGAGACAAACCTCTCCGGGCATCTTCCTGATGAAACGCAGCCTGGGACGTGCATAAATCTTCATGCACCAGCGGAACATATCAGAAGACTATGTGCACACTCACTCAGCAGAGTATAGCAGAAACAATCGTGGAGCGCGAGTGTGGCATTCTAAGTATTTATTAAGCAATATACAGTTGTACCTCGGGTTAAGAACTTAATTCATTCTGGAGGTCCGTTCTTAACCTGAAACTGTTCTTAACCTGAGGTACCACTTTAGCTAATGGGGCCTCCTGCTGCCGCCGCACCACCGCATGATTTCTGTTCTCATCCTGAAGCAAAGTTCTTAACCTGAGGTACTATTTCTGGGTTAGCGGAGTCTGTAACCTGAAGAGTTTGTAACCTGAAGTTGCTGTAACCCGAGGTACCACTGTATACAGGACAAAGCAATCATGGCGACCTCTCAGTTCTTCTCCAAGAGAGAGAGAAAAAGAAAAGTACAAAAATACAGTAGAGTGGAAAAGATCATAAGACTGGCTTCCATTCTCATTTTCCAAGCCTGGAAAGTAAACACAGACATGTGATGTAACAATCACATATCCAGCAACGGAGGAATGAAATGCTAACACTTAGTGGGTGGGAAGATACAATCACTGGGCAGCAGAATAAAAGAACGAAGAAGTAGCTTTTGAAAATCAACTTTATTTGAAACAATTTGAATTGGAAAAATTGCAACACTTAACACTACATTTCTGGTCACACATAACCCCCAATTTTCACTTGCAGGTTCCATTTTCAGAGCTCCCAGA